GTTAAAACCACTGAAAAATTAGTTGTAGAACACTTACTAGAGGCCGAGATGAAACGATATTTTACTGGTTTTTTGTGTAGTTTAGGTAACCAATACATAGTAGGGACCTTCAAATGTTCAAAAGAAGCCTTAAGCTGTGATGTGGTTATGATATGTTTGTTAACTATATGACTCTCTGTGGGGCGCATGGACTTATATGTAGATAAATTTAAAATTTCATTCTTAAGAACGTCCTGTAGTATTTACGGCATACCACCACCACATTGTTGGCTGCTTTGTCGGCCGGTACAAACACAAACCGCTTTGAAAGTTCTTGAAGTTTATTTCTTATTCTGGAAATAGGCGTATTATGTACTCTATTATTTACTTCTAAATTATTTTCAAAATGTGATATTCTATTATCTACCACATTCATACATTTATTTAAATAAGAATCAAGAGATTTTTTATCAGATTTTTCCCGTTTACACCAATTTTTACAAAAAGAGGAAAGAGCATCTTTGGTGCCCTGACGACACTGTTTCCAATCTATTTTAGATGGAAGACGATATTTTGGTCCTTTTTTTCAAAAAGTTTTTAACCTCTCTGTCCTGGACGATAATAACATATGGCCATAGGGAACATTTCTAATCTTCGATGAAATAATAGGTGGTTCTGTGTTATCAAAATAGGGAGGTATGAAGTTTTGAACGGTAGAATCATTAAATATACTAGATAAGTTGATAAAATCAATATACCTCTGCTAATCTATTTAAAATTTTTAGAAAATGACGTTTATGATCTTCAGGTTTGTCGATACGAGGGAACAGCCTATGGTGGCAAAAAGCTGTTATTATATATGGAACGCCATGACTGTCTTCTGATGTTGATTGTTAACTATGTTCGGTGCTTTATGCATTACGTTCAGTAGTATTTATATTTTGTTCAGTAGTTTTCATATTATGTTCAGTAGTTTTGACATTATGTTCAGTAGTTTTGACATTATGTTCGGTGCTTTGGTTATTATGTTCAGTAGCTTTATTATTATATGCAGTGGTATTTAAATTATGTTCGGTACTTCTGAGGTTATATTCAGTGCATTTTTCATTATGTTCAGAACCATCGACATTATGTTTAGTAGATTCAATATTATTTTCAGTACATTATGTATTATCTTCAGTGGTCCCGGTTTCTTTATATTCGGTAGATTATTCATTATGTTCAGTAAAAACATCAGTATTATACTCGGTTCAATGAACTAAATGTTCAGTAGTTGTATCATTATGATGATGCAGTGAAAGTCGGGAAATCAATAACGGAAATTTTCAGAAAAAAACGAACGCGGATATTTTCGACGGACGTTTTCTTCATGGACACTTTTACGGGATCAGGAATGAAAATGGAAAAAATGGAAGCAGTATTAAATTGGTTTGGTTTACGTTGACGTTGGCAATTTTCACAAGGAAAAAAAAATACTCCTGACTTAATTTGTAAGATGTCATGATTGATTGATTGTTTGCTGTTTTCTGAACGTACAGTGGCAAATATTTCACGCATATTTATGACGGAGAGAATAATTTTCAAACAAGAAATAAGAAGTTGCATGCGTTATCGTTGGTACACCATGACCTTAGAGAGACGACAAAAAGACAAACAGCAAAAAATAAAATATAAAAACATATTCTATAGCTTTTGTATTCCTAGTAGGTAACCCTTTTTGTTGGTTGGTTGTAACATATTAATCTCATGCACCGACTTTTAAGAGACCACGAAAAATCTCCTTGCAGATACTCCTGTAGTATTCTGCATCCTACCCCGCGCTTAAATATCAGATATTTATTTGAAATAACCCAAGATAAATGAGGTTGTGGATGAGGTTCACAGAATAGAGAAAGTTGATTCATAAATATGACCATATCAATGATAATTCATGGTAACACGGATTAGCCTCGAACCTGTATCTGGATATTGTCAATCTATTCCTCTTCATTCTGGCTATCTTTGGTAGATCTAGAGACTAAATCAAGAAATATGTTTTTAAACGCTCTGTTCAAGAACAGATATTAAGTTATTGGTTTGGGAAGTTACTAGTCTCTTATTAAACAAAAGGGGTCATGTTTTATGCATTACTTTAAAATAATAAGAACCATAACTGTACAGAAATGGTGAAAATTTGCACATAATTAAAGTTTTGCACTTTGTATTTTGATATTCATTACCTGTCTAATAGACAGTCTATGGTAATCATATTTACACTTAGACCTAGTTAGTTTTTGTGTATACAGCTTGCATTTGGAAGATTAAAAATCTTAATAAATGATTTTAAAATGACAATCATACTGATACTCAATGTTCATTTTTTGTAGCACTTTGTACAATATTTCATTCTATACCCTTGCATACCAGCATAAATTTCAATGTAGCTCTTTGAATGTAAGAAATTTATGACTAGTTGTTTTCTGGTTTTTCTGCTATTGCAGAGCTTTTTGCTGTCATTTTTGTCTGAAGTCTATAACGAACTGTTTTATCTTTGTTGTAATAATTTCTGACACAATTCAGGAGAAGAATGTAAGATTATCTTTGTCTGCAATAGTGGACGAAATAGTACGTCAAGATTTGTTTTCTCGTGCAAGATCGTGATTTTCGAGGAAAATATCGAATGTACATAATTTGCATGGTAACATAAATTAACCAGTTCTGATTACGACCAGTTCAACATTTCATTCCATATCAATAATAAATTCGGTATGCAGAAAAAGTTTAGTTATTCTGTTAATCATTTAATTCTGTAATCACTTTTTTCCAAAGTTTAAAACATTTTTTTTAAAGCACCCCTTTATTCTCTATTCTTTATTTTTTGCCCACCTTCTCTTTTTTGGGGGGTAGGGGCATTATTCTCTATTCTGTAAACCTCATCCACAACCTCATATATCTTGGGTAATTTCAAATAAATATCAGATATTTAAGCGCCTAATAGCGGGGTAGGATGCAGAATACAATAAGAATATCCAGAAGGAGATTTTTCGTGGTCTCTTAAAAGTCGATAAGTCGGTGCATGAGATTAGTATGCTACAACCAACCAATAAAAAGGGTTACCTACTAGGAATACAAAAGCTATAGAATATGTTTTTATATATTTTTTGCTGTTTGTCTATTTGTCGTCTCTCTATAGTCATGGTGTATCAACGACAATGCATGCAACTTCTTATTTTTTGTTTAAAAATTCTTCTCTCCGTCATTAATATGCGTGAAATATTTGCCACTATACGTTCAGAAAACAACAATCAATCAATCATGACATCTTACAAATTAAGTCAGGAGTAATTTTTTCCTTAATACTGCTTCCATTTCTTCCATTTTCATTCCATCCCGTAAAAGTGTCCATGAAGAAAATGTCCGTCAAAAATGTCCGCGTTCGTATTTTTTCCCGATAATTTCCGTTATTGATTTCCCAATTTTTACTGCATCATCATAATGATACAACTACTGAACATATAGTCCATTTAACCGAGTATAATACTGATGCTTTACTGAACATAATGAATAATCCACCGAATAAAAAGAAACATGGACCACTGAATGTAATACATAATGTACTGCAAATAATATTGAATCTACTGAACATAATGTCGAAAGAACTGAACATAATGCAAAATGCACTGAATATAACGTCAGAAGCACCGAACATAATTTAAATACCACTACATATAACAATGAAACTACTGAACATAATAACCAAAGCACCGAACATAATGTCAAAACTACTGAACATAATGTCAAAACTACTGAACAGAATATGAAAACTACTGAACAAAATATAAATACTACTGAACGTAATGCATAAAGCACCGAACATATTAAACAATCAACATCAGAAGACAGTCATGGCGTTCCATAATTATACGCGAATATTCATACAGCGGGCTGAAGAAAGAGATGGTGTCACACTCCTTGAAAATATCATGTAATTTACTAATTGGTATTTGACCCAGTTTACATAATAATTGATGTCTACCATTTTTTTTAAATATAGATAGGAGATTACCAAGTGTATAATTTATACGATGTTTAATTCGTTGATTTCGTTTGATACGTTTACCACGAGACCTATTATTTCGTTGTCTTTTATCCATAATGTTCATGATATCAATAAAAGAAGTTGTAGATATGTTCCCTTGTCCAAGTATATTGTCATTTAGACCCAGAGGATAAGCTGTTTGAAGTCGTTTAATCCAAGACAGTTCGATAATTTTACGAGAATCTTCAAATTGTTTATGCGATTGCCCTTGTTGTTTCTGGATCGTTTCGAGCGGTTGAAATCTAATAAATTTAATATTGTGGTTGTGTTTACCTAAATGTTGATAAATTATACTTTTACATTTCTTAGGTTTTCGGAAGCGGTATAGATATTCCTGTGTTCGTTTAAAAACCTCCCGTCCTGTTTGTCCTACATATTGTATACCACACTTTGGCTTTGCTTATGTAACCAGATAAATGAGGCTTTGGGTTTTTCATGTAATGTCACAGGAAAAGGAAAGCGAAACATGTTTGCTGCATTACGCCAAACCCTCCCCGTAACCTGGGACAGTGATGTAACAGTACAACATAAGAACAAACTATGAACATTAATCGAAAAAGGCATAACAGTTACTCATTAGATCGATACAAAGCACAAAAAATATAACACAAACAGGTTTGAGCCACACATTTTCCTGATAATCCGGAAACTTCATTGCCTTAGTATTATATGGTATGGTTATTGTATAATTAACTTACTGTTTGAAACATGAATACAATGTCAAACTTTTTAATTTTGTTAATAACACTGTAAAAATCTTAGCAAATGCCGCTATAACGAATTCGATGATGTAAACTTTTTTTAAAACAAATAATAACACCGATGTGTTACTTCTTTCACCCGAGATTAATTGAATTTCTGCTAAAACTGATTTGTTCAGTTTGTGAATTGTATATAGTGTTTAACAGAGTGTGCACCAAAAATCCTAATCATATTATATTACATAACATCTGTAATATAAGTAAATATCCAAAAACCATTTCTGTATTTCCTGCTGCAGTATAACTGTTTTGGAGTAATACGAAAATGAAATAATTTGGAAATTGATACCTGTCAAGATTGAAATTACAAAGTATAATAATTATATTTACGCTTTAAATATGGAATCTAGCGGAACGTTTCTATTGAATTTGAAACGTACATGTACCTGTCTGAATAAATATTATCAAAGTGACCATTATTTGTGCAGTTGTAAAACTTACAAAAGGATTTTGTGCAGATATGGTTTTAAGTTAACACAATACGATTCTATTCAATGACTTTGGAAAAATTAAAAATGAACAAAACACTTTTTCAAAAATATTGCTTTGTACATAAATCAGCTATGACAGTAGTTTTCTTGTTTGAATTGTTTTACATTTGTTATGTCGGGGCCTTTTGTAGCTTGTTATGCAGTATGGGTTTTGCTTATTGTTGAAGCCGTTCATTGACCTATAGTTAATAACTTCTACGTAATTCGGAGTCTAGTGGAAAGTTGTCTCCGGTTATCATACCACATCTTCTTTTAATTTCATAAAGGATATAAAAATTTAGCAGTCTTTAGTTTTCCATATAGACTTGTGCAATTGTTTGTTTTTGGTCGTCTTTCCATTTTTGCCATGTCGTTGTAAGTTTGAATTCGACGAATGAGTTTTGAATATTCCGTTGGTATTTTCCACCTCTTTTTTAGCAAGATGATAAGATAACTCTGATTCTGCTGAACAATTTATTATATCCCTTTGGTATCTTTCGCCTCTCGTATGCTGTCACACACAGTGTGTTTCACGACAAAATTAAACGAGTTACTAAAACGCCATCTACTGGATTATTCCCAATGTCAACAATGACCACTCTCCAAAACAAAGGACATGAAACAACTACCTAAGGCTCGAAAAATAATTGACAATAATTATGTTGGATTCTCTTTGCACATTTAAATCGACCTGGTTTAAGAATCACATGTAATGCTGGCTATAACGGAAGTTCCAAGGATTTAAGCCAATTCGGACGAATTGAGGCTCATCAATGGATCATTTAGCCAAAGACTTGTAGCAATAATTGGTACTTCACATGATTTTTAAGAAATTTTAAACCCGGAGGTATGATAAGAGCCATTATTTTGCTCTTTATTTTTCAATAATAGTAAAATTGTTCAGTCTTTTCCAAACTATGTTAGATTTATTCATCAACGAATAAATATATGTCTGGACATTTTAGTGCAAAAAAGTCAGTTGAAATTGACATGTTTGACCAAATAGCAATTTTACACATTATGGACGAAAATTTATATCAGTTAAGGCATTAACAAAAAATGTTACACAGGTTCAAATCTTAAAGACTTTGCATAAGGCATCTTGTAGCAAACAATATTTTTGGGTAAAAACTTAGTTGTAAATATGAAAGACAATATCTCTAAATAAGGATATTTTGGTCGTTTAGCTGTTTTGTATTAAAAGCAAGAAGTTTGAAGTTCTGAAGCAAGTATGTCAAACACAATTAAGAAATATACATACTGATGTATGACAAACTAATGTTTTATTAACATCTGAAGCATGTAAGGATAGATATTGTATACCTTTTTTATTGTAAAATTCAACGAATCAAAACAGTGCCCGTATCATACCTTCTCGGGTTCCACTAGTGGAGCAGGATCTGCTTACTCTTACGGCTCTCCTATGATCCCGGTTTTTGGAGGGGTTCGTTTTGCTCAGTCTTTAGTTTTCTATGTTGTGTTTTGTATACTGTTGTTCGTCTTTTCGTCGTTTTCGTTTTTTGCCATGGCATTGTCAGTTTGTTTTCGTTTTTGCCATGGCATTGTCAGTTTGTTTTCGTTTTTGCCATGGCATTGTCAGTTTGTTTTCGATTTATGAGTTTTAATATCTCTTTGGTATCTTTTGCATACATGTACATGTATTAGCTGAGTTTCGTAAAATATGCTACAATTTATTTTTGTTTTCTATGATTAGTAGGAACACGGTCAGTCGTGTTTGAAGTCCACCAACATCACTGCTTCAAGAAAACCTTTAAATTATTATTTACTAAAAGTTTGTAACATTTCACCTCGCACGTGCATTTGTAGATTTTGAATTAGTATTTTTTGTCAATTTTTCATTTTGTAGCAACGATGACGGTCATATTTGACACCAGATGTAGTTATCAACCAGCAAATGATTCTTTACAGTTTCGATCAGCTTTATTCAATTGATTTTTATTTACGACTGTGACTACGATCTTTTTTTAGAAAGGAAATTATCATACATCTGCAAGAGTATAATAAATGTATCATTCGACCACTCTTTGGTAGCACTTAGTCATTCTCATGTTTTTTGTAGTTTTTTCTATCAATATTTTGTGAAAGTTTCTGCATTTAAAAGTAACCGTTGCGGCTATAGGTATCATCAACCATCATTCTTAAAGAGACAATACACGATATTTAAGAAGGTCCCAAACGTGATGTTTCACAATTGTTTAGTGGTTATTAAGTTATTTAAAATATTTGCTGTGAGCTATTTAACTTTAAGAAAAGCACACATATCAAGCAAAAACTTGTTATTATTTCCATTTATTTCTTGCGTGTTCAGTATTTTTTTTTTTTTTTTTTTTTACATTGATGAAGTACACTGATGAGTTTTACTGTGCGTATTGCTGTGTGTTTGTTTATTCTACATTGGCTAGAGGTATAGGGGAGCGGGATTTTCTCGTTGTGTTGAAGACCCATGATTGGTGGCCTTGGGCTGTTTTCTGCTCTTTGGTCGGGTTGTCTCTCTGACACATTCCCCATTTCCATTCTCATTTTTTTGCTTTTTTTGTTTTTGTTTATTTTTATGGTTTTTATTGCCCTGGTATTGTTTTAATTACTGTTCGTCGACTTACGGTTTTTTTCTTCTCACTGCTTTATAGATACGGAGATCGTTTCTACTATAGAACAAAAATATTTTTTTAAAACGCCGATAAAAAAAAACGTATCCTTTGTCCTTTAAATTCCCCATTTCAATCGTTATAATCTATTATCAAATGAACGATTCCCTCGGTAATTTAGAAACGAACTGTGTATTCTCCCGGCTTAGAAATACAATGTATCTTCATGTACCAGTCCAACTGCTCCAGAACTGAATTAAAGGATAGGATTATTAGGTTCAGCACTAAATTAATGAAATATGATTAATCATATAAAGACGTAACCATAGGGATTACTTAAATTTAATTGTCAGATACAAAAGTAAAGCAAATGTGAAAAAATAACCTTTTATAGTAGGCAGATCTACAGATTGGAATTTTCTCACGTACATTTGATTCAGTCTTTTTTTTTCTTCAAAATTCTTACTTATTTAAAGCTTCCTTAGTTTAATTGTTTGCTACAGTATTTTTATTTTATCATTTTCTGCATAAAGAAATGAAGTTATACTATCATTATTATCTTTAAGATTGAGTTGAATAGTTAAGATTAAACAATTGACACCGATACTGTCTATTTTGAAACACTTGACTTTTACATAACAGAATGGTGATTGTGTTATAAAGCGCAAAGACGACCTAATAACATTGAATTATCATATTTTCTCAATTCCTTTTCATATAATGTCTTCTTCCTTACTTCCTTTAATTTGAAACTTCCCAATATTATTATCACATCAGAACTAAGTTTTAAAATGTCACCCCGATTTGACAGGGGTGTTTTGTGTTCTTACATGAGCAGTCTTTGATAATACTCTATGTTGATACAGAATACATTCTACAGGACAATAGTGTCAAACGTAGTATTATCAGGATAGAATACTGAACTTTATCAACAACCAACAGATAATCAGAATCTTTAGACTGAATCAAACAATCGAACAAACTAAAAATACATTTCTGATAAAAGAAAGACAAAGAATTCCAGGAAGTTATTCGATAGATTGACAATACTTTGTGATTTTCAAATAAACTAGTCAACAAAAGTAACGATACATAAGTTTGAACCCCAATTTATCATAAAATATAATAAATAGGAAAAACTGTTAAATTATCCAATGAAAAACATTCATTTGCAAGGCAAATGCATATGATTAAAAGAATCTGACCAAACTGGAAAGTGAGAAAATACGGTATTATTGAACACAGGGGTCAAATTTATTTTGCGAAAAATGATGACAAAAGTCGGCACTTAATTTCGAAGATGAGAATTATTCAAATATCTGCAAAGGCATTCAAAATTTTAAGCAGACCATGTTTAAGTTTAAAGTTTTCAGTTCTAATATCCATTTTTGAATTTTTGGGTGAACATTACGATTTTTGAATTAACAAAAATTGAAAGAAAAAAAATCGCGTATTTGCCTTAAATCAATGGTTTTGATAAGAAAATAACACTGTAAATATTAGACCAATTGGGCAATTATTTACCTGGGTACAGTGTATCCACTTTCATTATATATGGAAAATGCATTGCATTGTATCGTTTCTTTTGTTGACTAGTATAATTAAACCGACCATATCTTAGACTACGGGTTTGAAAGCAAAATCTGATGAAAAATCGGAAGTGTATAATTATGATTTCAAACTTGTACAAGACCATCAATACTGCATAAACTCACCATAGATACCAGGCTTAAAATTGTGTACGCCATGCCAGACGCGCAATTACTTAATATTTAATATTAATTTAGCAATTCGCATTTGTACTGCGTACTATTTGTAAATATTTGAAGAATTGGACTTGTGTTCAAAAGGTGCCATTTTCTTCAATACTCCAAATAAACTGTTGACACCGAGATATGTCTCACGTTATGTAATTCTGATAGTGTAATGCAGTTATTGAAATTAAAATGGCAATATTTAAACGTGAAAACTTTGTCGATGCGAGACAAAAATTATCCAAGCCTCATAACTCCTGTAAAAAAAGGTAGAATCAAAATGGCGGTACAAAACGATTAACTACACACGATGGCTAACAATCCTAGCAAGTATGAGATCTTTCAATATACAGTCCAATTGGAGATGCATTCACAAGATGACAAAATACTTAACATGAAAGTCCTATAACTCCTGTTAAAATGGTAAAAAAATGGTCAAATCAAAAAATATAATGGCAAATAATCCTACCAAGTATGCAAGCTTTCTGTCAAATGGTCTCTTGATTATTGGTGTCGGTTCCGGACGGATGGAGACCATTACCATCTCCCGCGCGGTGTGTGACAACACGCAAATATTGTACTCGTTTTGGTCTATTTATACCTGTATTAATATTTTCTTTAAACTGGTCCACATGACCTTTGACAATCTTTCAATTGGAAGTCATTCCGATGGTTAATCAGATGGTGTACAGTCCCAAAATAGGCACAGAACTTTGTAGTTCTGATATACGTTTATAGATATAAGAAGATGTGGTATGAGTGTCAATGAGACAACTCTCCATCCAAGTCAAAATTTATAAAAGTAAACCATTATAGGTCAAAGTACGGTCTTCAACACGGAGCCTTGGCTCACACCGAACAGCATTCTATAAAGGGCCCCAAAAATTACTAGAGTAAAACCATTCAAACGGTCTAATCTATATAAAAAACGAGAAACGAGAAACACTTATGAACCACATCAACAAACGACAACTACTGAACATCAGATTCCTGACTTAGGACAGGTGCAAACAATTACAGCGGGTTTAAACGTTTTAATGGTACCAAACCTTCACCCTTATCTGAAACAATAGTGTAACATCACAACATAGAAAGAAACACTATAAAATATCAATTGAAATGGCTTAACTCAATCAAAAGACATATTAACACCAGTGAACACACACTGAACAAATAAATTTGATCTATGATACAATGTAAATACAAAATAAATAAACTAAGGGAAGAATAGTTAAAGTAACATGTTATACCGCTGTGAAATGTAAAACAATTTAAGAAAACCAATATGCTTGAACAAAAATATCAGCCATTTGCAATTACTTTAAACACAGGTAAATGAAAATAATTTTGTTGTTAGGTATACGTGTACAGTTCAAATGGAGAAAAAAAATATTTTTACAAAATAAATGATTTTGATGTTCATAGTACGAAGAAGTGAAAATTTATAGTAATACCAAACACTTATCAAAGCTTGTATATAGACCAGATATAACCCTGAATAAGTAAACATTAAATAACAAAAAAAGCATTACAATTAGTATCAACAGGTCAAATAAACAAGAAAGTATGATTTGAGAGTACTCGCAGTTACTGACAGCTAGTTAAAAGCCAAAAACAATTAATAATAAAAAATCATGCATCAGAGACTAAAATCAACTAAAACACATCCCAGAGATTTAGTATTTTAACGTCATGGACAGTCAAAGAAGACATGACTTGTGCAATGCCAAAAATAAATGTATCGACAGATATGTTTTAATAAAATTTGATATTTTGAGTCAATTTGGTTGGCATGAATTTGTTGGCTATTTGCGTTTTAAATGGACCAACGTATTCCTATTTTACTCGTGTTATTTTCTCTGCCGAAGTACACTAAAAGTATATACCTGGATTTGACAAAATTTAGTATTCGAGATTTGCAAAGAAAAAGAAAAACTCAAAATTGATATTAAAAAAATTCGTAAGGGTTCCGCGGAACCCAGTGTCTCGCCTACTTTTGCTGTTAATCGCAGGCTCAACAAAAATGAGGAAAAAAATTAATAAAAATATTCCTCTCTATACTATCTTTTGATTGTAAGTAGCTTCTGTCCAAGTTTGGTAAAAATCCAGGATAGTTTATGAATCTAATAAATGTTTTAAAAACTTAAACTGCAGACTGTATGTAATGTTAACTGGAAGAAAAACAAAGTCCATTTATAAGTAAAAAACGGAAAAAGTGGAACAAAATTTTAACAAATTTTCCTTCTAGATACTAGCTTTTAATCATAAACAAGCTTCAGTCCAAGTTTGGTACAAATCCAGGATAGTTTAAGAAAGTTGTTAAAATTTAAAAAAACTTTAACCACAGAGTGAATGTAATGTAAACTGGCAGAAAAACTAAGTCCATTTATAAGTTAAATAAGGAAAAAATGGATTTTTTTACAAATTTTACTTCTGGATACTATCTTATGACCATAAACAAGCTTCTGTCCAAGTTTGGTACAAATCCAGGATAGTTTAAGAAAGTTGTTAAAATTTTAAAAACTTTAACCACAGAGTGAATGTAATGTTAACTGGCAGAAAAACTAAGTCCATTTATAAGTAAAATACGGAAAAAATGGAATTTTTTTTTTACAAAATTTACTTCTGGATACTATCTTATGATCATAAACAAGCTTCTTACCAAGTTTGGTAGAAATCCAGGATAGTTTAAGAAAGTTATTAAAATTTTGAAAACTTTAACCACAGAGTGAATGTTATGTTTCCTGGCAGAAAAACTAAGTCCATTTATAAGTAAAATACGGAAAAAATGGATTTTTTTTTTTACAAAATTTACTTCTGGATACTATCTTATGATCATAAACAAGCTTCTGTCCAAGTTTGGTAGAAATCCAGGATAGTTTAAGAAAGTTATTAAAATTTCAAAAACTTTAACCACAGAGTGAATATTTGTGGACGCCGCCGACGACAACGACGACGACGACGACGACACCGACGCCGACGGAATGTAGGATCGCTATGTCTCGCTTTTTCGACAAAAGTCGAAGGCTCGACAAAAAGCAAACATACTCTTAAACTGATGTTATGCAAATGCGAGTGCTCTCGGAAATTCCCTGCTTTGTTATACATGTACTGTTTTTGAAATCCGCATTTCCATATCAGCAAGTATTTGAAATGAATTTGATATTTTCCACATGACATAGCAATGTTTACTGTATTTTTTTTTTTACTTCGGTTGATATTTGAAAAGATAACAAACAAGGCAAATATGACAAGTATTTTGAAAATCAAAAAGAATGCTGTTACTACACTTACCACAATGTATACCTTTTTATATATGAAAACAAATTTATCTATAAATTTCTACTTTCTTTTTGGCTAATTATTATATATTTAATTGATCCAACTTTTTGTGTACTATACATATGTGGATATCTATTTTTCTTTTTTTTCTTTTTGGGCTGCTTGTTTGTTATCTATATCAACCACACTTGCAATAAAATGCATTAGTATTAAAAAAAAAAAAATCATACTATAGATTCTTTATCTACGTATTCTTTAAGAACTTAAATAGTTCTCGTTAAATTTTTTTTTTTTTATCTCATTGTTTGTATTGTATTCTGAAAAATTATTGATGTTGTAATGTTTATGCCCTTTTGGGCCCATAATTGGAAATAAAATATCTTATCTTATCTTATCTTATAAATCAAAATGGGTGAAAGCTATTAAAATTTCCAGTATGAATTTCTTTTTTAATTCAGGAACCTAAAATAAAATATGGGTACGTATAAAATGCATAAAGAGATGTTTTAACATGTGGAGTCTTCTCCGAGTTTCAATATAACTTCATTATTTTAAAGGGAGTAGATGTACAAAACAATGTACATGCATAAGGTTTGATCTTCGGCATCTCCGCTCCTATTTTTGATCCAACATGTAGATGTGGATTGGATATTGAGGACATGCGCCATTTTTTCTTTGACTGTCCTTTCTATTTACATGAAAAGGCTATTATGTTTAATGGTTACAGCTGGCTTCCCAAAGGGTGCAATTTGGACATAAAACTATTGGTTTTTAGAAAAGATACTCTTTCCTATGATTAAAATGTGCAAATTGTTTAACAAGTCTTAATTTTTTACAAGTGATCAAAAAGATTCCTCGTGATATAATATCAACATAGGTAAAACGCACATCACAATCATCATCCTAATATCTGGCGTTCTTTCTTTGTCCCCTTTCATTTTTTCAGTATAGTTTAGTAATATTTATTTTGTTTTTATTATATAATGCATGCTCAAATCCAATTTGTTTTGTCACAGTATATATATTTTATTGTGGAGAAGACTTCATCAGTGTATTTTACGTGTGTCTGTTCTTTTTTGGTTTGAGCGAATACCGTATAGCGGGTTATTTTCGCTGGGTGTTTATTGTCGCTTATTTTGGCGGATAAATGAAAATCGCTTAAATAAATTCCGCGAAAAATTCATGGATAGTTACGTTCGGTACTTTCTAATACCAAAAGTGTTTTGTAAACGATCTATTTTTTTCCGGTCGGCAGGCCAATAACGGTATATGTTAGTTTTAACACATAAAGTGACTGCCAGTTGTGTATATCCTCAATGTCAAATAAAATAAGAGTGTACAGAACTTTGTCAGGTAATTACTGTTATCAATTAGTGTCAAATCACTCTTGATAATTATATAACCTAATAAGTACATCACAGGTCCGGTCAATTTCGTAATTAATCAACCGTAAAATTTACAAGAAGTGTGTATACCTGTGACAAATATCTACGTTACCGGTATTCTATTGATTAACTGTATCAAAATATGATCAATAAATAAGACGTCATTCAGGTAAAAAAGATATCATTTTATCATAACAATAGACAATTGTTTGTCAATTTTTACAACTTTTTAACTGCAACAATTTCAGTATCCGCCATAATATTTAATTGGTATTTAAGTATCCACCAAAATAAAAACCGCCAAAATGTTTCGTATACTTTTGTTGTTGCCACCTGAGACTACTATAATAGTAGTCTCAGTTGCCACTAAATCGCTAGAATTGACCCGCTATACGGTAATACAAAAAAAGACATGTCAAAACTAAATCATGCATAATGAATATTTCTATTTCATTAGTAGAATATATTGGTCGTCAAGTAAGGTTGTTTTGTCGTCTGTAATGAAACCGGCATCACTTGCAAAAAGTAGATGAAAGAAAGAGATATTGCGTACCAGTACTTTTGGTAATTTGTTACGACAAATGCTATTACCTTATTATTATGCTGCTGCATATTTTGAAATTGAAAATGGGTAACCAGGACTTCAATATCGTTATAAAAAAATAAAAATGTTTTATTCGTCAATACTATTAACTTGATGGCAGAAGAAATTAAAACAGAATATATATTCCAAATTGTAATTAAGTTTCTTTAAAAATACAAAATAAAAGTTACAATAAAAAATATATAGCATATTGTACATATATATATATAATTAATATCTATTTCATCACAATGAGCAATTTTATACTAATCAACAAAGGTAACTCTGGCATGTGAAAAATAAGAATATAAAGAATACGGTATGGTATTAGTGTCAATGTGACAACTATCCAAAGGCCAGAAAGGCCTAGATGAATATTATCTGATAGGTTTCCAAAACTTTGTGGCATTCAAATTCAAAGGCAATATTTGACATTGGGCTTAATTGCAAACATTCAATCAATCAATTGGAAATTTCTTCCAAACTAACTGCATTTTGAGTTTCTTGATATAAAATGTATGTATCAGATAAAAACAACTGATTAAATGTTGTACATGCAGATTTTTATCGTCAACTGAATAATAACCATTTGTTTTTCCTTTTTGAACCGCTTTGGTCGACTCCGTTGAAGAAGTTCATGTGGTCCATCCCTGATCGGGTAAAAGAGAATACTTTAAAACGGCTGTTCGCTACTCCCCTCAAGCATACAAAATAAAAGAGCAAGAGTGGTCGGTTTGAATCTGAATAGGGTAGGGGTGAAGCGAATTCCCGTGGAGAACAACCTTGTGAGCTACATGTAGCACAACAAAAATATAAACCTAGCGTCTTATAAGCATTACATATATTCATGTGACATTTTGAACATTTTACTATTCTGAATAAGCATGTACAATTAAAAGTCTAAATATTGAGTCTGAATTTGCATTTGATTTTTGCTGCCCTTCCCTTTTCTCTAGAATTTTGATCTAATACAAAAAATGCCCATATAAACCATACAAGGGGAAAATAAATGCAAAACTTTTAATTGCAATCATGATGACGAATATCTGCATAATACCTTACCCTTTTTATTTGATAAAAAAAGAGTGAAAAAGTAACCAAATTTCTGATGTTGGAAATGGGAAAAGTTGGGGTTACAGAAATTAATAAACTTCTGGTGAATACAGATTTCCTTAAATATATACAGTGGGGATTTTCATATAGGTAGCATGATATACTGCTTGCTTGAGGCATGCTTTTTTCACATAACAGTTGTATTTAAGCAGTGTATTACATATAAAACAGAAAATTTATTGATTGAGTACACAATCGATAGATTAATTACTTAATGTCCAGTGGTTAATATTTCAGGCATATTGAGGACCAGAGGAAAACCAACAAGCAAATCTTCTTATTTTTATATTTACAATATGCATATTCTGTAAGTTTGGAAGCATACATGTTATACAAACCGGTATATAATATTTGTGAACAAAGGGCCTTAACTCGAAACAATTTTAAATAGTAGTTCATTCCGAGAAACAAAGAAGTGAAAGATTGAAGCACATACATAATCCTGGCTTCAAATAGACTGACATACATGCATATTCATTATAAAAATTCCGTATACGGATATATATATATATATATATACCGAATTAGATGTTTTAAGCAGCAATTACACTTTGAACGGTTTTATATATTGTTCAAGATTAAAGCGTCGGAAAATCAACAGGATAATGTCAATGCACGACAATGTCAATATTTGCACTTTCTTTTACTTTAAGGGTACTTTAATATCATTTTAAAGGGCAGTTAATTGGTGTAACCAGTAGACAGAAATATGATATCAATACACAATCTATATATAAATGTATGTGCGTAAATTTTCATGACACTAAACTGTTGTGCCGATGCTGCCTTGATCAGAAGTTACACTTTCTGAAATCGATTTGCTATGATTTCTTGAATTCACACTTGATACTGAATTTGCATTGTTCTTTGTGTGATGTCTGGAATGGCCATGTCTTGGTCGATGTTCCCTGGAGTCCGTACTAGAAGATGAATTTACACGTGGTCTATGATGTGGCCTAGAATTACTTTGTCGTGGAGATTGATCTCTTTGACGCCGATCACGAGTATTTTGATTATGTGGAGAACGATCACGAGGAGGACGATCACGTGGACCGTCACCTGAACGATGATCTCGTGACACAGAAGTCAGATCTGATGCCACACTTTGTCTATCAACACTTGAAACTGATTCTGCGTAACTCCTTGATTTATAGTTTTGGCTTTGCTGTTTATAAGGTTCACTTTTCATGGAATATGGCTCCGATTTATAAGACACTTTATTACTTGCTGTTTCAAGATCACTATCATCATCGTGCTTGGCGATAGGCGGCAGGTAACTAAGGCTGGTATCCCTACTACGTGCCTGCGTGGAAAAACTTGTTGCATATCCTCTGTTATCACGCTTGTAATCTGTTGTATCTGAAATTGTAATCATTTTTAAATTTAAACTTCGGGACAAACAATGTTTCAAAATTCCGATAGCAGGTCACAAATGTATAAGTTTCATCGATCTTTTGAAGCTTTGTTTTAACTCGTCTCTGGCTCTAAAGTGTGGTTGCAGTTCGGATTCATCTTGAAAACCAAAATACAAGGACAGTAACAAAGCAAGTACATTTATACAGATTTTGTTAATAATTGATTTGGTTCATTTTACCCTTATGCTATATTTGCAGGAACGGAAATCTAACTAGCAACAAAAGAACCTCTGATACAATTCTGAAACCCAAAGGCCCGACAGCCAATTGCCCAGCGGTTAGGTTTAAATTGATCTAGTAGTTTATAGGAAGAGCTTGTGGGTGCAATTTGATATACTGCAATTGACAATACTTTTCAATATTTACTTTAAAACTCTTTTATAACATAGCATCAAATAGTTCAGCAATATTGACGATTCCTGCTGCTTTGATGTCTGTAGTAAGGACGTTATGACAATTTTCGACATCTTGTTAAGCTCTGTTGCTCGCAAGCAAATGCCGTTTACCTGGAATCTCTCTAATGTAAGACACAACAAAATTAATAAAATGCTTCGCTGGGGCGCAGCTTGATACGACCGCAGAGGTCGAACCCTGAACAGTTGGGGCAAGTATGGACACAACATTCAAGCTTGATACAGCTCTGAATTTGGATTGTTATTAAATATTTGACACAGCATAGGTTTCTGACACAGAAAGAATGTGGTCTAAGAACTTGAATTTTTTTAATTTACCTATTATGGTCCAATGTCCAAAATCAAAATACATGGTTAGATTCAGCATATCAAAGAACCCCATATATTCAATTTTTGTTAAAATCAAACGAAGTTTAATTTTGGACCCCAACTTGGACAAACTTGAAAACTGGGCCCATAATAAAAAATCTAAATACATGTTTAGATTCAGCATATCAAAGAACCCCAAGAATTCAATTTTTGCTAAAATCAAACTAAGTTTAATTTTGGACCCTTTGGACCTTAATGTAGACTAATTTAAAAAACAGGACTTAAAATTAAAAATCTAAATACACGGTTAGATTTGGAATATCAAAGAACCCCAATAATTCAATTTTTGATGAAATCAAACAAAGTTTAATTTTGGACCCTTTTGACCTCAATATGAACCAATTTGATAGCGGGGTCCACAAATAAAAAATCTAAATTCATGGTTAGATTCAGCATATCAAAGAACCCCATATATTCAATTTTTGTTGAAATCAAAAAAAGTATAATTTTGGACCCCAACTTGGACCAACTTGAAAACTGGGCCCATAATCAAAAATCTAAACACATGTTTAGATTCAGCATATCAAAGAACCCCAAGAATTCAATTTTTGTTAAAATCAAACTCAGTTTAATTTTGGACCCTTTGGACCTCAATGAAGACCAATTTAAAAAACGGGACCCAAATTAAAAATCTAAAAACACGGTTAGATTTGGCATATCAAAGAACCCCAATAATTCAATTTTCGATGAAATCAAACAAAGTTTAATTTTGGACCCTTTTGACCTCAATATGAACCAATTTGATAGCGGGGCCTACAAATAAAAAATCTAAATACATGGTTAGATTCAGCATATCAAATAATCCAAAGAATTCAATTTTTGTTGAAATCAAACAAAGTTTAATTTTGGACCCCAATTTGGACCAACTTGAAAACTGGGCCCATAATCAAAAATCTAAATACATGTTTAGATTCAGCATATCAAAGAACCCCATATATTCAATTTTTGTTGAAATCAAACAAAGTTTAAATACTGGACCCTATCTTGGACCAACTTGAAAACTGGGCCCATAATCAAAAATCTAAACACATGTTTAGATTCAGCAAATCAAAGAACCCCAAGAATTCAATTTTTGTTAAAATCAAACTAAGTTTAATTTGGACCCTTTGGACCTCAATGTAGACCAATTTAAAAAACAGGACCCAAAATTAAAAACCTAAATACACGGTTAGATTTGGAATATCAAAGAACCCCAATAATTCAATTTTAGATGAAATCAAACAAAGTTTAATTTTGGACCCTTTTGACCTCAATATGAACCAATTAGATAAGGAGGTCCACAAATAAAAAATCTAAATACATGGTTAGATTCAGCATATCAAAGAACCCCATATATTCAATTTTTGTTGAAATCAAACAAAGTTTAATTTTGGACCCCAATTTGGACCAACTTGAAAACTGGGCCAAAAATCAAAAATCTAAATACATGTTTAGATTCAGCATATCAAAGAACCTCATATATTCAATTTTTGCTAAAATCAAACAAAGTTTAATTTTGGACCCTTTGGACATTAATGTAGACCAATTTGAAAACTGGACCCAAAATTAAAAATCTAAATACACTGTTAGAATCGGCATAACAAATAAATAAATGTGATCAAAGATTTTACAAATCTAATGCGCCATACTGTGCAATTAAAGATTACTTCTTGAAATTTTTCAATATTTGAAATTTGAAAAAAAAATAATATTTGAAGAATAATTCTTTTTAATTTCTGAAATCTGAAATGAGAAAAAATTGGCCCCCCACAATTTCTTTTTATCCCCCCCCCCTTTTTCCCATAAAAAATTCTTTCCCTCAAGATATGGTCATAATCTCAATTCAAATTTCCAATGGAGTTGGCAACCATAATTACCCATTTAAATTTACCATAGTGCTAACTTAATCTATTTTATAATAGAATTAATAAAAATATAGTGTCAAATCTTTCATATGGATTTTTTTGTAAAAAAAAAAGATGAAAACATTTGCAGATATTTTTACTGGTCTTCCTTTATAAATATGCATTTCTTTAAACATAATTTAAAAGCAGTGTAAGGGAAGTAACCAAAACCTTGTATTTGGATTACCTCCCTTACACTGTTTTAGATTATCTTTATTGTTCATTAACCATTACTTTATACATAATTTAAAAGCAGTGTAAGGGAGATAATTTCAATGATGTATTGGATTTATCTCCCTTACACTGCTTTAAATTATGTTTTGTACTAAAGTATTTGTCCATTAACCAGGACAACCTTGTTTTTCCCCCTTTTTTGCCCCTAATTCCTAAACGATTTGAGCCATAACCCCCCAAAGCAAATCCTAACCATCCCTTTGTGGTATGGAAACTTGTAGTATAATTTCAGAGAGATCCATACACCGTTCCACAGTTATTGTCTGGAAACTAGAAAATGCTCATTTTTGGCCCCTTTTTGGCCCCTAATTCCTTAACTGTTGGTACCATAACCCCCAAAATCAATCCCAACCTTCCTTTTGTGGTATTTAACCTTATGGTCAAATTTCAAAAAGATCCATTCACTTAAACTAAAGTTAGAGTGCGAAAACCAATATGTATTCGGACGACGACGCCGGACGACGACGACGACGACGCCGGACGACGACGACGACGACGCCAACGTCATACCAATATACGACCACAAAATTTTTTTGCGGTCGTATAAAAACCAACTAACCGACAACATCGCAATTGCATATTAGTAGACTCTTTCAAGTATTTAACCTCAAAAACATCAATATCAAATTCAGCAATAAATATTTAATCTATTGTACATTTGGTCCAAGGACACAGTTATCGTCCTTTGGAATATAGTCCCTAGTGTGAACAGTGTATAACTTGCATTTTTTTTTGATACACTTTCCCAATTTATTTCTTGATATTTTATGCATGAAATATTAAGTAAGAGGATGAAATTACATGTTAAAAAAATTTGGGTGCTGAATCTTTATGTTAAGTAGTGATTTGGTCCAGTTAAAAAAGGTCAAAAATTAGAATGTCTGAAGCTGTCAAACTGAATTTTATCCCCTTAACACAGAATTGTCAATATTTTGAGTTAGAGCTGGTAGAAGTTTCTATAATTTTGATATTATTTGTATCAATAGTAGTACACTACACTGTAAAAATCTTTTTGAGATAGAGCAGGTGCGATTTTTTTAATTTGAATTTATTGTCTAAAAGAAATGCACTACGAAATAACTGTGTTCTCGGGCCTAAGAGATGAATTCCGTAAATGTAGATTCTGTACTTTGGCAACTTTCCTGAATGGTTTGCTGGTTTCAATTTGTCAAACTCAATAAAAGTAAAGGATTTACATCTTTGTTTGACAGAAATTCTGTTAAAATGTCCCATTTCGGCATTATACGGCTAAAATAAGCATTTTAAAGCAGTTTCCATTTTATGCCTAAGAGCCATGCTGACTTTCTATCTGACAGCTTTTTATGTTCCTGATATTTGTGTTTCTATGCTTAAATCAAATTTAATTAACCATTTGTGAACTCGGAATCTAGAGAAAAGTAGATTATCACAGAAAAAATGTGCAGAATATTTGTATTTATGTCCCTGGTTAAACGGCTTGTTTGATGTATGTGAAATGTGAAGAGCTTTGTACATAAAATCTGTAGTCCATCACAAATATTTCACTAAATCTGTAAAAAAAAACACTTTACAATGATCAGTACACCCTATTCATTTCATATGCTACCATAATTTTCTTCTTTAGGATAGTAAGTGGTTCAAATATATGCCAAATGAGACTAAAACTACATGCAAGTTTTCCATTGAAAAGTGAAAAACTGGTCATCAGACCATACTGTCTGCAAAAAAAAGTTGAATTCAGGAGTTCTTTTGCAATTAGACTTCTTGTATCATGACATCTTAGCATCGAAATGAGCAAAAAGTAACAAATTTCAATTTCTTATAGCCTCTGTGTGCATTTAAATATGTAAATATGGGCTACGGCCTAAATCGACTCTAAATAATTCTCAGTCTTACATGGCCTAAGACCATTTTATACTCATGTGGTATGCTTTTTGTAACTTTTCTTTACATTCAAAGTACATTTAATATATAATGAAGAATAATGTTTGGTTAAAAAACTTCAAAAACTTCAAATTGGTTGAAAAAAATGCATGTTTATGTAAGGCTTCCCTTAATTCGAAAATCTCTATTTTCAGGCACAGGCTCATATAAATTTGACTTTTGAATAACTGTAATAAATCTGATAAATCAAGTGAGTGTTCCTTTGCTTTTAAAACTTATTATATTAAATTCAAGAGTATTTAAAAAGCAAATTTTTGCAATATTTAAATTTTTTAGGCCAAAATCTTGACAGTTGAAAATATTTGATTTAAACGTCAAAAATAAACATCCAAATTTCAATATTAAAATGGCCCTAGTTTCTATAATATATATCCTATGGCCATGAAACTTGGCCAACTATCTTATAATTGCCTAAGCTTAGGTCATGCAAAGTTTTATTAAAATTGGTCAAGTCTTTCTATCCTTTTAGGTCCAAGGACACAGTTATCGTCCTTTGGTTTTCGTTGTCTACGAATATAGTCCCTAGTGTGAACAGTGTATAACTTGCATTTTTTTTTGATACACTTTCCCAATTTATTTCTTGATATTTTATGCATGAAATATTAAGGGGATGAAATTACATGTTTAAAAAATTTGGGTGCTGAATCTTTATGTTAAGTAGTGATTTGGTCCAGTTAAAAAAGGTCAAAAATTAGAATGCCTGAAGCTGTCAAACTGAATTTTAGACCCCCTTAACACAGAATTGTCAATATTTTGAGTTAGAGCTGGTAGAAGTTTCTATAATTTTGATATTATTTGTATCAATAGTAGTACACTACACTGTAAAAATCTTTTTGAGATAGAGCAGGTGCGATTTTTTTAATTTGAATTTATTGTCTAAAAGAAATGCACTACGAAATAACTGTGTTCTCGGGCCATTTGATACATTTATTTTTTCTCTATTTGAAATTGTATAATCAATCTATATCTTGTTGTAACTTTCCTGTTACAAAATCTTCAATTTGATAAATATGTTCACTTTATGGTAGATGTACATAATTCAATTTTTAAGGAGAAAAATTAATAATGCAAGATCCAATATTTTCACCTTTTCTCTTAATGTACATTTTTAAAGGATGACCAGCAAAAATATTAGCAAATATTGCATTTTTTCATTTTACAAAAAAATCTTAATGTGAAATTTGATACAATGTTATAAACCCTAGTACATCAGTATTGTGTCGGTCTACGTAATTTTTCCTTACCGCTCATTTCTGATGGTGCTATATAGGAAACTACTGGTTTCTGTGGTGTCATATACTGATTTGCTGCCTCTTTTTCTTTCATTCTTGATTTCCTCAAACAAATGAATATAACTGCACCAACAATAATTATTGCTATTAAAACTCCAATGATAATTCCTCCAATGGCACCTGCAGACCTGTGGAAGTAATATTAATTATGTCAAACCCAAATCGTCTAATCGATCATATAAACAGTCTTTATAAGTGTGTTGGTCAGAGGTTTTATTCGTCGTTCATATGGCAATGTACACCAGTTGCACATAGAAACTGAATAGATGCGCATGCAGTAAAACATGTGTTTATGGCCCCTTCTGTAGTCATGTGAATTACGAAATTTTCAAACTGCAATAGTATCAATACAACAAAGATAATGAATAATAGAGATGGGCCATTTTGTACATACACCAAAAGGAAACTTCGTTCAAAGATTAATATGTATTGTCTTATTGCATTTAATCGAAAATGGGGATTTTGTGGCAAATAAAACCAAGTTTTTTGTAGAAAATCTACAGACTTTAATACAGATATTTTCGTTATAAAATTTTAAACATAGATTACTCACTTGTTTGACCATGATGTGCTAGCGTTTTTTGTCCTAAACAACGTTAACATTCCGAAAAACCTCGTGCTGAGTCACTAAAGTCGAGCACACCCTAGAAGGTGTACTTGAATCGGTCCATATTTTTATTTGTTATAACCAATATCTTAATTTCTAAACTTGTTTTAAGAAAATCATTGCTAGCACTGCATGCAATAATTCTCTATTTATCAAGCACTGAATTGTCAAATATTAGTGTACAAGGGGAAAGGCTGTGGATTTTCTATAAAATTTCCATATGTTTAGCATTCATTTGAATCAACACAAGGGTACATATTCCTTAATTCGAATTAGCAGCCACCAATAGAAGTAGATCGCCGCCGCTTTCGATGTTTATTGAGACAATTTAGTATGCATAAGTTACATGGATACATCATGACTTCAGCTGAAATTAAGTCCTTTGAAAACCATCATGGAACTTGAAATTGATTTGACGGATGTTCTGATAGTCGCATATTTAACCGGAAAATGTCTGATGAAGTGAATCTATAATTTAAACTGAATTTATAAAGAAACACTTATAATAATGACCAGCAAAATTTCCCTTAAGGGAGCAACCATTTAACTTCAAAAAGGGGGGTATGGTTTTTTATCTGAGTCAAATTTTTTTTTTTAGTTTTTCGACAATATCAATCAAATTATTTTTTTCAAAATTGAACACTCTATAAAGGTATGTGGAAAATCTGGATTCAGAATATTTTTTTTGTCATCTGCTTGACCACAATAATTTTTTTCATCAAATTGGGGATCAAATTTTTTTTTAGGAAAAAACCATCCACCTCCCCCCCCCCCCCCCCTTGAAGTTAATGGTCTTTCCCTAAATAAATGCCGTCTGGTGTCTCAAAAACAGAATTAAAATTAATCCACAATGATATTAAGTGGACTACAACGTGAATGGAGGAAATTCTCTTTGTTATTTCAAGTAAAATTTAATCAAGTAGTAAAACTAAACAAAGTTGGAGGGACTTTGCATTAACTCTACCTTTAACAAGAGACCTTTAACTTGAGATACTACATTTATCAATAAAATCAAACAGAAAAATCACTTGGATGCACTCGTATTAACAGTATTCCCACTTAATACTGTTAACTGACAAATACCAAAGACAAACATTGACACGTCTATTCATGCATCTTTACATATTAACTAGAATTCAAAATTATCTCCAGAAAAGTTGTGAAAACGCAGAATACTCTGCAAAATTCATAGAATAATGTGTAGTCCTGGTGATTTTTTATACAAACAATATGCTACACTGTAACAATCCAATGATTCCTCCAGAAGAGTATTAATATTCATAGAAAAATATCATATAAATACTTGCAGTGATTCATTTGGTTCTATTTTATTACAGCATGGATTTATAGAACTCGGATAGCAACATCCATTGTAACAAAATTTCGAGCCCGATGGAGGACTAGGGTTGCTTGGATCAATCACGGTGTAATAGCAGGTTTTAGCTCCTTCTTGGCATAATACTGATACTAAAATAGATAAAAAATAATACTTTGTATTGCTATAAAACATTTTTTATTTAATGTTGATATAATTTTATAGAATAACCAAAGGAATAAAGTATAACTGCTTGCTTAAATCATAATTACGAAAGTTGTAGATATTCATGCTGGGCTAGAGCAAGTAAACTCTTAGATTTTGAAAAAAGAATGGGTTTATAGCAGTACGTGCCTTATTTTTGAAACCCACCAAAATCCAGCTTTATGCATCAGAAGCCCGAGTGAGCATTTATCGTGCTTCCCTTTGCCTATACTAGTATCACCCTGCTAAGTAGCTCCGTAATTCTCGCATCACGGCTTTGGGACGTGAGAACTTATCAGTGACGTCACACTGTCGGAGGAGAAGTTTTCAGCGACCGCACATTGTGTGAGGAGACATTGTCACTTAACTTTATTGTGTTTGTCAAGCGTAAACTGTCTAAGGGAGGGGAAATAGCACGATTAACAGGTTATCGGGTTCGCTGTATATAATATATATATGTCTTTAAAAATCAGCCGATCGACATAATGTGAAGCTTTCTAGCTCACTCGCCAAAAAGGTTCACATTGTGGCTCGAAGCTGATATTTTACGATAGAAATGCGTCAAACAAAATACAGATAATCTATAGGCTTTTAACTAGCTTTCAGTAACTGCGAGTACTCTCAACTCGTACTTTGGGGTTAATTTGACCTGTTGACACAATTTGTAATGCATTTCTGTAATTCAATGTTTACTTATTTTGTGTTATATCTCGTCTCACTATTTTTAATATATAGCAATTTTTGATAAGTATTTAGTATGACAATAAATTTTCACTTCTGTACTCGAACTCTGATCAACAAATTATTTAATTTTGTAAAAAATGTTTACTTCCGTACTCCTAACAACAAAATTATTATATTTTTAAAAATTTACCTATGAACATTATTTTATTTAACGCCATTTCATAGTTTGTCATAGATCAAACTTATTCGTTCAGTGTATGTTTACTTGTTTTTGTTTAAATGTCTTTTTGATCGAGTTAAGCCATTTCAATTGATATTTTATAGGGTGTCTCTTTTTTATGTTTTTTTTTAATGTTACACTACTGTATCGGGTTAGGGTGAAGGTTGGCGCCTGTTAAAACGTTTAAACCCGCTGTATTTTAATGCACTTGTCATTAGTCAGGAACCTGTTGTTCAGTGCTTGTCGTTTGTTGGTGTGGTTCATAGGTGTTTCTCGTTTCTCGTTTTTTATATAGATTAGACCATTGGTTTTCCTGTTTACTGCATTGTTTTACACTAGTCAATTTAGGGCCCTTTATAGCTTGCTGTTCGGTATGAGCCAAGGCTCCGTCTTGAAGGCCGTACTTTGACCAAAATTGATAACTTTTTATACATTGTGACTTGGATGGAGAGTTGTCTCATTGGCACTCATACCACATCTTCTTATTTATATTGTGTACTATGAAAATTGTTGAAACCAGATTCAGAGATTGGTAACTACTAGGATATGTATACAGTAAGCAATTTATATTTGATGGATGATTTAATCTAGTATTTTGGACAAAATTGAAATAAGGAAGGAACTAATTATTAAGGATTGTATATAATTCTAATATTTACAAAACCTACATGTAAACACAAATACGAACTGAATGCTGTGCAAGTATTTCTAGGTCGCAGACTGGTATTATGTTAATATATTTGCGTGTTTAAAATTGTAAAAAATAACCAAAAATCCTCACTTAAATTACGTATCATTATCCAAGATTAATGGCGGTCAATGAAACATCATTCCTCACGTAATAAGGGAGCAACCATTTAAATTCAAAAGGGGCGGAGGGTTTATGGTTTTTTGTCTGAGTCAGAAAAAAAATCTTTTTTTAATGCTGTCAATCAAGTATTTTTTTTCAAAATTTAACACTAAAGGTATGGGGAAAATCTGGATTCAGAATATTTGTTTTGTCATCTGCTTGACCACAATATTGATTTTCATCAAATTGGGGATCAGAATAGTTTTAAGGAAAAAAACAATACCCTTCCCCCTTTTGAAGTTAAATGGTCGTTCCCTACCCTTCGTCAAATATGGCGTTTCGTACAAACAAAAATTGGTGACCATAACATATACACTTGACGATACATATGTGAGTTGCCTCAATTTTGAGTCTTTTAGTACAGAGTTCTTTACTCGATGATAGCTATCGCCTAATATTATTGAGGTCATAAACAAACACATCAACACGGTCGTCTGTTTAATAAGAAACAGTCTAGGTAAATAAAGGCAACAGTAGTATGTCGCTGTTCAAAAGTCATAAATCGATTGAGAGAAAACAGATCCGGGTTGCACACTAAAACCGAGAGAAACACATCAACTAAAAGGGGAAAACAACGGAACAACAGAAACCGTGACTGAAATCGAAGTATCCTCCCCTTCCAAAGAGAATAATCAAACAAGTCTGAAATAAGAAGTATGAAAAAATAAAATGCTCCGCTGGGGCGCAGCTTGATACGACGGCAGAGGTCAAACCCTGAACACTTTGGGCAAGGATGGACACAACATTCAAGCTTGATACAGCACTGAATTTGGATTGTAATTAAATATTTGACACAGAATGAAAGTGGTCTAAGAACTTCTAATTTTTTAATTTACCTATTCATACATGTGATGGACTGTGAAACTCAGATCAGGAGATTGGGAAATTTTGGTCAGGAGATTAGGACTCAGATCAGGAGGTTTTTAATCGACATAAATTTTGTAGTAAATGTAACCGTGTGCTGTAAAAATGGTCTTTTAAAGTGTGTTTTCTTCAACTTTCCATCCAATTTATTATGTTTATAGTACCCTTGTACATATAAAGTTTCTACATCTTTATATTCTACATGTTCAATCTAACATTGTTTTTTTTCAGTATGTTCTTTAAATTTTTTACTTCATATTCTATAAAACAATCATTGCAACCAGAACATGTGTTTACCTATCTGCAAATAGTTTTTATTTGCATACTCAGAAAATCATTCTAACTGTAAAACAAGG